ACATTTTTTCAGGTTCTAATTCTACTTTCTTGCTGACATCCTAGCCTTGACTTCTTTAAATACATTTTCTGCCTCTAACCCTTCTCGATTTACAATTATGCATGTGAGAAATATGTATTTTTCTTTTTCTTTTTTTTTTTTTTTAATTTTTCCTGGACATTTTAATCTTTCATCCACAAATGCTGGAAGACATTTTGTTCCTCTCAAGGACCCAACATCTGCAATTTGCCAATCACTGTGCTGGGCCCAAGAAATACATATTTTTCTATACGTTGTTGATATTTTCAGAGTATTAATATTATTGCAATCTGTAGTTTCAGATTTAATAATTTTTTATTGCCACTATATTGTTACTTTTTCTGCAATGTGTTGTACTTAAGACCTTATATGAGATTTTCATTTGAAGAATTGTAGTTATTGGGCTCTAGAAATCTAATTTTGTTTATATTAATATATTTCTTCATTTGTTATATTTGTGCTTTTCCCTAAATACTTAGAGCTTCTTGCAAGTGTTTTAATCAATTTTTCCAGTGTTTTCATTTCTGTGTGAATCGTCTTTTTTTTATTCTGGTCTTGGGTATATATTTTTGCTTCTTAGCATGTACAGAAACATTCTTGTATACTAGACTTTGCCATTTTGCATTGTTGTGTGTCTGGGTTTTAATGTCTGCCTAAAGGAGTGTTGATGTTAATGTGTTTAAGACAGTAATTTATACTTGATAACTTGCTCAATGTGTCAGAGATTGCTGTTTAGGCTTTCTTACGTGATATTTAGAGTTAACTTGAGAGCTATTCTATACCTATTCAAAGCACAATCCTTCTGGGGTTGCTACTTAATGCTGTGAGTGTTTATCATAGTCTCTCCACTCTGGCAGGTTGGAATTCAAAAGTGTCCATGTCTTCTGTAAACTCTAGAAGTTGTTAACCTTATCAATCTCCTGAATTTGTTATTTATCTATTATCTTAAAGTTTCATGCAACACAGGTACAGTGTAATATTCAACCAAAAACTCAGGGGGATCCCTATGAGGAAATCTGCAGTTCTTGTTCTGCATATCTCCTGTCTCTGTAGTTGTCTGCTCTGTTATTTCTAGATGCTTCATCTTTCCCAAACTCTGGTGTTTGTTTTCTTAACTCAGCAAGACCACTACACAAGTTGCTTTTCTCCCTCCCTGTTCTGTGGTCCAGAAATGCCTCCAGGTGTACTGCAGTGGTCTTTAGTGCTCCACTTAATTTTCTTTTTTTTTGGGTGGATCACAGTACTGAACTGTTTGTTGCCCATTGTCTGAAAATAATTATTTCTTATATTTTTTGCAGTTTTCTACTTTTTGTTTCTATTTTGTTTTGTTTTTGCAACAGGAGACGAAACCTGGTATCAGTGAATCTGTTCTGGCAAGTAGAGAATAGAACCCTCTTTGTAAATGACTTGTTCTTTCTTCCTGACTCCCCACATGTATCTTTATTTATCCTTGAAATTCAGCAACTTTTTCCAGATAGGTCCTCATGCTGAATGTTCTGTACCATCTTTTTTTCTAAGATACAATATATCTTTTTGTCCCTTTATTAAAGACTTAACCTTCATGTATTTTGCTTCATTCTTCAGGAGCAGCAGCTCTGTGTAAGCTGAACATCCTTTGTCTAGGTTTCAGGTATTGCTTTTAATATTTTAATGTCTTTTTCTTCTTTTGCTTTTATTTTGTGTAATTTCTTCATGCCTTTCCATCAGGCCTTACTGTTTTCAGTAATGCTTATGTATAATTTTGTTCTAATATGGTCTTAAATCTCTACAGTTCAGTTTTCTCTTTTCCACTTATTTTCTGAATTCCGTTAGCTTTTTACTCCCTCTATCACCATGTAATATAAGTTTTGAACCTCTTTTTTATTGCAGCTGTTTTCCATGTCATCCAACTCATGCCATTTGTAATTTTTTTGAGACTATGGAGAAATAATTACCTGCTCTTTATCTCCTTGGACAATTCTTGTGATATGTGCTGTTAATTGATCTTTTGCTCCTTTACAAGTTTTTTAATCAAAAATACTGTTTTAAATTTATTCATATAATTTAATATTTAATGTTCTGAGATAATTACTCATATTTTAATGAGGTCAACCATATTTGGGGGTTGGGAAGAGATAATGATATGAGGATGTCAATATCTTTAATTTGCATTTATTTCTTGGGGCAACTTCTCGAAAAAAAAGTCTGTCCTTTTCACCTAGTACGCATCTTCTCTCAGTTATTGACACTCAAGTTCTTGATCTTTCCAAGTGAATCCTTTAAGCTCCAGGGTATCTGTTTTATACTGTAATAGAGTTTCCCCTTTGTCATTTATTGCATTTCACCTCTGGCAGTTCCAGCTGGATAGGAGGTTAGATAATAGATAAACATGTTATATTAGTATGGTTCCTGCTTCAGCACTGTCTCTCAGAACACTCTGTAGTGGCAATCTGGGTTTCTGCACAGGTATTCTCTCCTCTGGTTGTCTGCCTATTCCTCTGAATCTAATTATTCAAAATGATTGTTGAATTCAACACTAAACAGTGTAATAGTGATTTTGAAGAATCTGAATACTACTTGCGGTATAAAGTATGTGCTTTGTCTCTGAGTCTTCTGCCTTATTTTGTTTTATGTTTCATAGTGAGGGACTAAACTTCTCTTCCTGGGTCCACAAGGGGCGTGGTTTCAAAGGCAAGAACTTCCCAGCGCCGTATCTCTATCCACCCCCTCACCCCCTTCCGGGAGCCTAGAGTTCTTTGTCTAACTTTCGTGCGCAGGCTAGGTAGACTGTCCAGGTGAGCTTCCTTTGTTTAGAAAGCCCACCAAAAGCCTTGGAAGGAGGGGATCTATTGCGAGCCAGGCAAGGAGTGGCTCTATTGTGAGCCAGGCAACCAATCCAATATGAGAGTCGAAGATCAATCACTCCAGAGGAAGTTTGGAAAAGCTCCTCTCAATGGACAAGAACTTGAATTGGTCAGGAGTAACTATGGGGTTAAATCCCCCCGACTCCCTTATCTATACGGATTTCTGTCTCTGGGATCCCCTCCAAAGGCAGCATGGGAGCCTCTCTCTCTGTCTCTCTCTCTTCCTTCCTCTCCCTCTCTTTCTCTCTCCCTCTATCTCTCCCTCCCTCTCCCTCCCTCCCTGTGCAAGCTCCATCTCTGGATCCCCTCCAAGGACAGCGTGGGAGCTCACTCTCTCTCTCTTTCTTTCTCTCTCTCTGCCTAATGAATTGCTTTTCTGCAAAGCTCTTTGGAACAACATTACCGTGCTGCCTGGGTCTCCTCCCCATTCTTGGGGGAGTGAGAGCCCAAGGACCTGAAAAAAACACGTCTGATCAGGGAACAGTGAGCGTCTTTGGAACACCTCCACAGCCCTGCTCCTGTCCCCTGGTTACAATAGTGTTTTGTAGACATGTCTCAAAAATTTTTTATTGTGCTTATGATCATTTTATTGTGGGTTTGAAGACATATCCACTTCCCACCCCCACAACAAAACACACCACATACTCTACTTTGCTTGTTCTATGATATTTATGAGTTTTGAGAGTGAGCATAGTATAAAATACTTAATTTTAGTAGAATAATTAGGTTATTACTTAGGGACAATAAATTGTTGCCTATTTTGTTCAAGAAATAGAATATACTTTGGCACTATTCTACTCCTAAAGCAATGACCACAAATCATTTATGTAGAGGGTTTTTTTCTTACCACCAATAACTAAGAAATTTTAACAGTAAAAAAAAAAAAGCAGCGCCCCTGCCCCAAGAGGGCCTTGTTCAGCTGAAGGAAATTAATTAGGTGTACTATAGCTCTTGATACTCACATGATACTCAGGCCAGCATAGGTGTTACTGGGGACAGTATAAAAAACAAATAAACTTAGGTCCCCATCTATGTTTATTGAGTCAGGAATTACATTTCAGTGGATCCTCTGGTTATTTTTATCCACATTAAGGTGTAAGAAGCACTACCATTAGCAAAAGTGTTCCTAGATTTTAAAGAAAGCTTTGCCTATTGTCTCAATCCCAATAAGGATGTATATCTCCACATTTCTTCTTCCTATAGCCATAATGTAAGAAACTGTGGTGAAGAACTAATGATATGCTGATGACTCTTTGGCCTCTGGAAATAAAAATCATAATTCCTATAATTTTCCAATTTCCTTGGTATGAATACTTCACCATGAATAATTTCAAGCTAACTGTATGAGGTCACTGGATGTGGAATTGGGAAAAGATTTGCATAGTCTGTTCTCACATGACTATGCAATCTGGCTCCTGCACATCACTGCTCAGAATCTACCTATTGTTGTTGCCATGGTACAAGCACAAGTTATCTTACTGACTTCCATGATACTTTGGGGCTTTCTGGATGTGACTATTTTTTTTTTTTTATTAACAAGGACCTTTGTAAAATGAAATAAAATGCAATATGAAGATAAACTTGAAACTTATAAAACTCTTCTTTATCTCTTATCCTTTTAACATATACTAGTTATAATTTCTTAAAATTTTGTAAACCAAACTCTCCATATAACTAGATTTTTGCATCAGTTATATAATATATCTCATTTTGGTCTTCAAAATAAACCTTTCTTACAACAATTTTATTATTTTATTGTCTTAAATAATAATTTGAGTACACTTGTGGTACAGGGTGGTCATTTTGTAAAGAAAGTAGTTGACTTGGACAAGGTCATAAAACAAATCCAGAGATAAAACATAATGAGACACTAGGTTTCCTGCATCCCAGTCTCAGTGTTTGTGTCTAAGGTGTTTTATGGGGAGAATGGAATAAGGGGATTCCCAGTCCCAGAAACTGTATTTGACCTTCTCCTGGGTCTAAAATTTCTAGACCATTTGAAAGAGATTGAATGGCAAGTAAGGCTGTGCAATCCTGATTGAAAAGATTTGGATGACCAAGCTTATCACTGACTTACCTGCTTTTCTTGTTAGACTAATTGATTCATGAAGATGACTTTGGTTATTTTCTCTTTTACAGTCATCAGCAACTTCATTCATTATGCGGCTGGTGAAAGAGACATTCAAAGAGGTGAAACAATTTGCCCATGTACACACAACCAGCAAATTGCAGAGCCAGGTAAAATCTCGTTCCATGTGAATTTCCAAAGCCTCATTTTTGTTTATTCCATTACACTTGATATATTTAATTTTTCTTTGTTTCTTGTGTTATATTGAGCCCGAATTTGTTATTCTAGTAATATGATAGTATTAATATCCACATTCAGTTGAAACTGTTGGGCGAATAGCAACAATGGATAATTAGTATTCAGAGCTGTATCAATAAGTCTGTTTCAATCTTTATTTGTAAATTCTCAGATAACTAAGATTGCAAAAACATTTCATACATAGAATAGATGCATTCATAAAAGTAAAGGCGATTAGAGGTTATCAGAGGCTGGAGGAAGGGAGAAATGGTAAGTTATTGCTTCATTATTACGTATTTTGTTTAGGGTGATGAAAAAGTTTTGAAAAGTAATGGTAGTGGTTGCATATCATTGTGCATATAGTTAAAATGTCACTCAATTGTACACTAAAAATTGTTAAAATGAAAAATGTTAACTTCTGTTTATTTTACCAAAATGTACTAAAAACAGTCATGAGGCCTCAAAAAAACAAAAATTCACATGATGGCCATAGGTTTTTCATTTGTAGGAAGTAATATTTTTGGGAAAAGCTCCAAATGACTTATTCATAGCCTAGAGATTCTAAGAGAAAGGTTTTCACAAACACAGCCAATCATAATTAAAATTTCTATATTTCAATGGACTGTTTTAACCATAGAAAAATTATATTAATTTTCAATGGGAATTTTAACCAGATAAGGAGCCTTCTGACTGACGTCAGCCAATGTATTCTTTGTCTGAGAAGCTAGAATGACTATTATCAAAAACACAAAAAGTAACAGATGCTGGCAAGGGAACAGATGCAGAGAAAAGGGAACATTTATACACTGTTGGTGGGAATGTAAATTAGCACAACCTCTATGGAGAAGAGTATGATATTTCTCACAAAACTTAAAATAGGACTACCATATGATCTAGCATCTCACTATTGAGTATATATCAAAACGAAAGGAAATCAGTATGTCAAATAGATACCGGTACTTGCGTGTTTACTGCCAAGATATGAAATCCACCTAAGTGTTCATTAGTGAATAAATGAATAAAGAAAGCATGGTGTATATACACAGTAGAATATTATACAGCACCAAGCCTAGAACTAAGCACACAGTTGACACAATAAACATATTGTGTCTGTTTGTCTAGTTAGGATTATTTTTAGAAGAAAATGTGGATATAAGTCTTAAATGAAAGGGAATAACATAATATAGAAAGTCCATTTGGATAATGATGACGTGTGTGTGTGTGTGTGTATTTTATATATATTTTTTCTAAATGCCATTCTGTATACATAGACTGATAATAATTCCTATTTAAGTTTAAAGTGAACTACAGCACATGGTCAAAGAAATTGTTCTCTAGTGAGAAAATTTACTATATACACCTTCCCAAAATAGTGCTTTAAAAGTATTAAAATATAGATATCAACATCATATTGCATTTTCTAAAGACTGAGGGCTCATGAAGTTATTGGAGCAACAACTGGATACTCCTCTATTAGTCAATAAAATATTCTGGATATATGTGTATGCAGTAACTAATATTTTTTATTTTATTGCTTTACATGTTCAGAGCCAATATGTTTTGCTCAAAATATTGATTTTTGATTATGTGTATATTACAAAAGGTTTACTTCTGACCTTGAGGTTTTCTACTTAAAGCATTCATCCATATCTCTAAGAGCTAAATAATACTTCAGAGTTTTTCCTGTAAGTGGCAATAAATGCACTTACTAAATGGAATCTTTTGTCTCCATGGAGTAGAGATTAAGTTTCAGAAAGCAGAGACACAGCTGCAGTGTGCTGAGCTCAGAGCTCATTTTTCTAAGTCTTTGTCTTATAAATTTGGTCTGTTAAAATGTTTGATCTGAATAAACTGAAAATGGAAAAAAAGGTATATACATGCATTTAGAGATTCCTTTTTCTGTAACAAGCCCCTGCAGTTTCTAAGAAAGATATACCATCTTAGAATCCTTAAAAGTTTAATATAATAGGAATGTGAACAGAATAATTCTCTTTGAGATGCTGTAAATGGAAGATCAACACAATGAAATGATAAGTGTTTGAAGTGATGAATACCCAGTTACCCAGATTTGATCATTATATATTTATGCTTATATCAAAATATCAAATATACTCCATAAATATGCACAATAATTTTATATTCATAAAAATGTTTTTATAAGATGTTCAAATATACCCATAATAGTATTTAGAGCTTAAAAAATTCACAGCGCTCAATTTGTAAAACCTTTCAGTATACACAGAAGGGCAAGTAATTGGATAAAACCACAGTGAGGGAACCAGCAGAGTCAGTCCTTGAGTCCATTAAACCTGATCGCCTCCATAGGTTCTCCCATTAAAAACTCACATATAGCAAAAGTCCTCATTATAGTTGTTCTGTTTGAAATGGTAATATGTAATATAGGTCTGGGTAAAACATTTACAATTAAGTAGTATGCTTTCAGCAAATAGAATCCATAGCTGAGGTCCCAAGGTCATTTTAATCTTGAATATTTTTTCTTTCATTATCTATTCTTTGTTGATTAAAAGGTTCAAAAATAATGATGAGGACAAACATGTATACTTACTTTATCACATATTGAATACACGTTATTATGGGTTTTTTAAAACTTAAAAATATTTTCACATGCTATAGATGATAGGTTGCTCATGTTTCCATGGCATTTTAGGTTTCCAAAGTGCTTTCATGTTCATCATGTCTGTGCTATCTGCAAGATATAATAACTATCTCCTTCTAGACATGATGGACTTGAAATTCCGTAAGGGTGTGATTTGTATAAATTACTCAGCTTGGTGATGACAGAGTCGAGATTAAAACCTTTGTTCTCAAATTTTAATGTATATCAGAATCCCCTTTTTAAAGTACATCCTTCTGGGTCAGAATTTCTGATCCAGTATGTCTAGGTGAACACCTAAGAGTTTGCATTTCTAACAAGTTCTCCTGTGATACTGACTTTGCCAATCCAAAGACCCAAACACTGATGTAGATAATGCTTGAGCAGCCTATCTGTATTCTCATGTAGCCTCTCTTATAGAATTGGAAATATTTAAAAAACAAGTGGTTTGCCTAGCCTCTTCTTTCAAATGTATTAGTAAGTCCTCTTTATATTTAGCAAGTTATTAAAGTAATATCTTATGTTTTTGGTTTGCCCATATCAATGACATTTTAAAATAAGAAATATATTCCAACATACATCTATCAAGTACATTGAAAGAATGTGTGAATTTATTACTAATTTTTTGAGGTTGCAGTTATTCTTAATACTTGAATACTTGTATTAGGGTTATTGGTAATTTGCATAACACTATTGTAATGTTACATTGTTCTGTATTATTTGACAATATATTTACCTTTGCCTGTGAGATTTATATTTAGTTATGCTTTCATATTGCTTTTGAGTGTGTTTTTGAATGTGGAACCTTTGTGTCCTAAATTAGGAGCTTTGTGCTCAATGTGATTATAAAATCATTAGACACTGAATTTACAATACAAGTCCATAAATAAAATTCTTATTTTTATTATAGACTGCAAGATGAATATTAAAAGATAACATCTAAGAATATAAAAAAGAAGAAAAAAAGATAACATCTAATCAGTATTGTAACCATTAGTTAGGTTTATTATTATTTTTACTTTTTTCCTTTCTATTTTAAAGACTTTTGCATTTAAAATATATGCAAAACTGTTGACTTTGGCAACAGTTTCAATTTACAGGATAAAATATAATATTTCCAGTTACATTTGTATTTCAAAGAAACAATAGCTGGTTTTGTTTTAGTTTTCATTTTTTTTTACTATAAATATGCCCCAAATATTTCACAGAGCATATTTATACTACTAATAATTATTTGTTGTTCATTTAAAATTAATATATAATTCATAGTCTTTTCTTTTCCTTTTGCTGCTGAATCTGACAATTCTAGACTAATGTCAAAAGTAGAAGATCACTGACTGCTGGGTGAAAATATACAAGGTAAGTGTGAATAAATCTACTTAATACTTAGCAGTATGAAAAGTAAAATTTAGAGTTTCAGAATAAATGCATTATGTTAACATCATATACTTAGAACTCATTAGTATCTACCAATACATATTGTATACATGATATGTAAAAACATATGTATATATGTAATATATGCTATTTTATCAGTCATGGTTTCAGGATAGTATATTTAATTATATATTAAACTTACAGCACCCTCAATATGGTAAGATCCTCAAATACACTCATGCATTAAATACTTTTTGAGCATGGCATGTGAGACAGAATTCATTGTGTTCAGTGGAAAATGAGTTAAATAGGTTAGCAGATAGTTGTCCTCTATTCTCCTCTGATCTTAAGTGCAAAGAAAATGGCCTGAAAAGGCACTGAAGCCAAAACAGTGATTCTCGACCTGGGCTTCCCATCAGAATTACCTAGAGTACATTAAATTCTTTGCTTGTGTCCCACCCTCATATATTTTTAATTAATTGGTTTGAAATCTGCCTTTGAGGAGATTGAAGACAATTATTTGTCCTAAAAGCTTTCTCAATTATTTCTAATTTACAGCCAAGATTTCTTAAATTAATGGTTCTCAAACTTGTTTGCATATTTTAATGTCACAGGGAACCTTTACATAAATATGTGCATGACCAGACCATGTCCCAGATAAAAGGGGTTGGGTGTGGGGGTGAGGTTGAGACAGTCTTAAAGCTTCTCAACTGTTACTGGAAAGGGGTCCCAATCCAGACCCTAGGAGAGAGATTTCTTGGACCTCACAAAGAAAGAATTCACGGTGAGTCCTTAGAGTAACATGAAAACAAATTTATTTAGAACGTAAAGGAATAAGGAATGGCTAAGCCATAGACAGGCCCGCAGCATGGGCTGCTTGACTGATTATATTTATAGTTATTTCTTGATTATATGCTAAACAGGGGGTGACTTATTCATGAGTTTTCTGGGAAAGGGACAGGCAATTCCCTGAACTGAGGGTTCCTCCCTCTTTTAGACCATATAGGGTAACTTCTGACAGTTGCCATGGCATTTGTAAACTATCATGGCGTTGGTGGAAGAGCCTTTTAACATGCTAATGTATTATAATTAATGTATAATGAGCAGTGAGGACAACCAGGGGTCACTTGTGTCACCATCTTGATTTTGCTGGGTTTTGGCTAGCTTCTTTACTGAATCCTGTTTTATCGCCAGGGTCTTTGTGACCTGTATTTTGTGCCAACCTCCTATCTTGTCCCATGACTAAGCATGTGTAGGGCTGGGTGCTCACGCCTGTAGTTCCAGCACTTTGGGAGGCTGCAAGGTGAGTGTATCAGCTGAGGTTAGGAGTTCAGGATCAGCCTGGCCAACATAGTGAAAACCCATCTCTACTAAAAATACAAAAAAATTAGCTGGGCATGGTGGTGGATGCCCGTAATCCCATCTACTCGGGAGGCTGAGGCAGGAGAATTGCTTGAACCTGGGAGGTAGAGGTTGCAGTGAGCAGAGATTGCACCACTGCATTCCAGCCTGGGCAACTAGAGCAAAACTCCATCTCAACAACAACAACAACAAGAAAAAGAAAAAGAATGTATAACTTACCGGGCATGCGGCCCATCAGGTCTCATCCTTATTTCACCCACCCCTACTCAAGATGAAGTTGTGGTGGTTTAAATGCCTCTGATAAAACTTATTTCAATATGCAGGTAAGTTAGAAAATCATTATTCTGCAGAATTTGTATGCTCTTTACCCAGTTCTCCATTCAGATATGAACTAGACTTTGAGTATTTGCCTTATTAGAACTTAAGAGAAATTAAAGAAAAAAAAAAAGAGCTTTGGGAAGGTATTGACAATATTGGTTTTTCTAAGGTGTGAGGAGGTATTTTTCATGAGATCATATGAATATCACGTGTACTCCATAAGTATGTATAATTATTATATATTCATAATTAAAATTTTTAAAGAAAAACTTAAAAAATAATAAAGACAATGACAATAAATCAAGCATGTTCTTGAGAATTTCCTGTAGAACACTCCACCATAGCTTGAAATCCATATGGCTTTTAGTTTCTTTTTTTTATGCACAAGGATGACTAAAAATTCCAAACTGAGCAAACAACAACCGAAAAAGTTCTGGCAGCACAAATATAACAACTTTTTACTATGCCAAGTACTGAAAATCCTGCTGTTAGTTGTTTTTATTTCTGCATGTGTGGATGAACTTGCCATATGAACAAGTCAGGTATGCTTAATGAATCATGGACAAGCATGGATGCCCTCCAGTGGAGCTTCGCAGTCTTCAAGATGCAGCAATTGGAATGAATGGAATTGTTTTACCTTTAGCCATTATATCAGATGTCATCAATTTCTTGATCCAATTAGTTCTCATTTATACATAGTAATGCCTATTGACTTCTCAATTCACTTCTACCAGTGTGAGCAGATAACAACTTTCGTTTCTTCCCTTCCTTCTGGTGGTGGCTGTGATCAGGGTATCAGGGTTTGGGTTGGGAACATGTGTAGCAGAGAATGAGCCCTGGATAAGGGTTCAAGAAAAGGTATTTAGTTCTTGTTCAGCCCCATATTGCCTATGTCACTTAATTTCGAGAGTTTTAGCTTCTTTATTGGTTCAGTCAGCATAGTTTTAACACCTGCCTGAAGGTCTCACAGTATGGCTGTGAGGAACAAAATTAGTTTAGTATGTCATCATAATGTGAGGCAGCCAAAAAATGAAAGATGCATGGTACTAGTAGGGGCAAATGAGGATCTCTGGAAATCAGACATGCCTATGGAGGTGGTATAAGTGCTGTGGGTGTTGACCTAGGCTAAGGAACATTTTTTCCCTGAAGTGGAAGAAGAGATTATCCCGTTGCAAGAGTTAGGGGCCAGGGGTTGCAGAAGGAAAGTGGAAATATTGGGTCATTTCTAGGAATGTAAGTTTCTTTGATAGAGTTACCAGATAAATCACTGGACATAGGGTTAACTTTGAATTCGAGATAAACCGTGAATAGAATGTTCACTATATGTATTTCCCAACTATTGCATGAAAAATACACTAAAAATTATTCATTGTCCATCTGAAATTCATGTTTGTTTGTGCATTCTATATTTTGATTTGCTTAATCTGCCAACACTAATCTTGGGATAGTTGGGGCTGGCCATTTTGCTCCTTTCAGTTATTTTTTGGAGGAGAAAGTTTCAGGTATTTCTAACTTGCTATGTGCCTTGATACATTGTTGATTGACACATGATACTTAAATATTGATAGCATTTTATGGTTTCTGAAGCAGATTTATATATATATATATATATATATATTGTTTATGAAGTACATTTATAGAAATTATTTGCAAAATTCTTATAAGTTAGGCATTATCATTCCCACTTTATAGATAAGAAAACTGAAAATCAGAGTTTTCAGGTTACGATGCTTGTTCAAGTTTCTATGGCTGTTTAATGAAATATTTAGCAATTAGAAACAGTTCTTTGATTATATGTGCAATGTTATTTCAACTATGCCCAAGCTGTCTCTTAAACTGATTAGATCTCAGCGTTTTATGTTTTACCAGAAGCAGATTTTCTTTTTTGTTTTCCATTATCTAAAACTAGTCCCAGCAGGCATTACTTCTAATCCAGTTGTTTTGCTTGTATGATTCTATTGAAGATTTAGTATTAATGAGATCGCTGTGAGTAAAATATACAGCACTTTGAATTTGTCACTGTAGCTTCTCTTAACAAATGAATTGAACAAATGTAGTGTTACAAGAATTTACATTTTCTGCCCAGTTGGAAACCCAACGATTTATTTGCTCCACAATTTTAAATAGCGACTTTTTATAAACAGTGTCCCAAATTGACTTCAAATAACATAATTATAGTACAATATGTTCTCCTAAAACCTTCTCTAGATTTGTATGCATGGTCATTGCATGGCAAATTGTAACTAAATTTCTCCGGTGCAGCACGTTTTCAAAGAGGACATCAGCAAGAAGTGTTTAATAGCAATAATACACATGTAGTGACGCTGTGGAATAGTGATTCTCAGAGTGTGGTCTTCTCAACTAGCAGCACCAACATCCCCTGGGGCCTTGTTACCGAGCTAGAAATCCCTCGATCTCAACCTAGACCAGAAGCAGAAACTCTGAGGCAGGGTTCAGCAGTTTGTGTTTAACAAGCCCTTCAGGAGATTCTGATGCATGCAAATGTGTGAGAACCATTACAGGACTAGCATCCTGCAGTACCTCCTGAGGGTGAAGAGTGAATCCTGGCTTTGAAAAGCTAATTGAGACACAGTTCTCTTCCAAGGATACTTCTGTGGACATCATTGGTAAGTCCACCCCTTGGTTCCCTAAAATCTTTACATGTCCCAACTTTCTCAGCAGGTGGGGGAGTGAAAACAGTCAAAATAATGGAGAAATAGTTATGAAATTCAGTGAACTGAATTAATTGTTAAATGCAAGTATAAGCATTCATCCATTGTTAGGAGAAAACGTACATTTACAAACTCTTGTTACATATATAAGGTACTATCATCAGCATTTTGCACACGTCTCATTTAGTTCTCATAACCATCCTACCATAGAGCCATTATCATGACCACTTCATAGATGACAGAAATGTTAAGTACCTTGCTCAAAGTTACACTGCTGGTGAGTGACCTTTGTTTGGTTTATAATTTAATTATAGTTCATCTCTTTAATGAGCGTCCCTGGCCTCTCCACAGTATAACAGACATCTCCTATTGCCACCTACCTTGAAATTGGCTCTCATCATCTTACAGTGCAGTTTCCTATTCATTTGACAGATATCTTGAAACCAGGGGGTGAATATCAAAAGGCTAATCTAGAGGAGTATGTGGAAGCATTTCAGTTTCTCACTCTTGGCCCACACAGACAAACCTTTTAAGAACTCCCTATAATAAAGCACATCAATATGTTAATGTCACAGTTTTATACTTTACAAAGTAAATTCATCAATAACACATATAAGGAAATTTAATGTGTATCAGAGTTAGTATTAGAGATTAGTAGGGAAAAAAATGACTATTTAACATGTGGTGATTTTGGACAATTGGTTACCAGAGAAGTGAAAAACAAAACCCTAAATTCAATCCCTACTTTACAGCCACCATATATATTTTTAAAAATCTCAAGTGCATTAAAATCTAAATGTGAACTACAAAAGATTAAATACGTTTAGAATATCTATATATATGAAAACGTTATGATCTTCTGGGTTAAGAGTTTATTTTAAAAGATTTCTTTTAAAAAAGACTGACTATATCACAATTTAAAACATTCTTATGACAAAAAGAAAATACCATGAGAAAGTTAAAAGACATATGACAGATTAGAAGATATTTACAATATATACAATGAAGAAAGGGCTAGAAACCAAAATAGATGAAAACATTCTACAAGTGAATAAGAAGAGTATGAACAATTCAGGAGAAAAATCGACACTAAATACAAATAGGTAATTTACATTAGACAAAACTGAATGCAGAATAAATACATGAAAAGATGCTATAGCTTTATATTAACCAGGGAAATAAAAATATCAACAGTGAAATACCATTTTATAGTTTTCATGTTGGCAAAACTATAAAATCTGTCAATAATCAGTATACTTCATAGATTAGGCCAATCATTTTGCAGAGGACAATTTGGAAAGAATAGAAAATCTAAATATGTACAAACACTAAAATCCAGCAATTCTACTTCTAGATATGATTTCTATGGAAGTTTTCCTATTTGAGTGCAAAGAGGTATATGTCATAAGTTCACTGCAGTGCAGTATATAATAGTTAAAGATTGGATATAATTTTAATGTCCATCAATAGGAAAATGGACAGAGAGTTTGGTATATTTATGAGGTATGATGTTATGTAGCAGTTAAAAATAATGAAATAGATCTGTGCATCAATAACGATAGACTGCTAAAATCTAACTTTGATGAAAATAGCTAATGTCTAGGAAGATATACATAGTATGGATATCATGTGTGTAATTTAAAAATATATATAATATTAATATAGATATATATTTGTGTGTCTGTACATATATGTATGGGATTGGCAGAATAAACATAAAATTCAGTGGTTCCCTCCAGGGAGAAGCGACGCAGGAGAATGGGAATGAGGAGGGAATTCTAGAGACAAATTTTATGATGTAAGTATGTAAGTACGGAAAAATATTAACCTAAGTCTTTGCTGTTATAGTCTCTGCATTTTTTGTGTTATTAATCTTTTTTTTTCCTAACAGAGAAAAAAATGCCCTGAAGCTCAGAGAGGTATGTAAATTGCATGAGAGAGCCAAGGTAAAGAAATACATCACTGTGTAAAGGCCAATTCAAATGCAATAGAAAGGCTAATTACATCAACAGAAAAGTGAAATATTTCAAATGGGTTCAGAGATTTTCAAGTCCTTTTTTAGTAAAACATTGCTGACTAATCCCTGCCCCATTGGGAAGTGTTTCAGTAGACACAATTGTTTTCATGAACTTTGTTATTTTTCTTATTTTTTTATTTTTATTTTTTTTTGCGACAGAGTCTTGCTCTGTCACTTAGGCTGCAGTGCAGTGGCGCAAACTCAGCTCACTGAAACCTTTGCCTCCCAGGTTCAAGTGGTTCTCCTGCCTCAACCTCCCCAGTAGCTGGGATTTCAGGTGCACACCACCATGCCTAATTTTTCTATTTTTAGTAGAGACGGAGTTTCACCATGTTGGCCAGGCTGGCCTCCAACTCCTGACCTCAAGTGATCCACCCATTTTGGCCTCCCAAAGTGCTGGGATTATAGGCGTGAGTCACCATGCCAGGTCAACTTTGTTAATTTTTATGTTGGAGTTACAAAATCTATGTTGGTGCACTACCCCCTTTGTGGCTATAGGTTGATAACTGTGTTAGAACTGACACTAACACCTACTTTCACGGTCTTTGCATTATCACCAGATGACACTCCCTGCTCAAAAAAAAATGTAATGTGATTAATTAATGTTTCTCTTCTTTTTAGAATTGCTTATTGTAATCCACTGCACCCTGACTATCTGGTGGTATGAGATTTCAGATGACCTAGTAAGTATCCTTCTACTTGACTTCTTAAGGAGGGCTTTTTATGAGAGCCCTCTCTAGATTTAAATGAACAGTGTTAAAAGTAGACATAATCATTAATATTGACTAAAGATTTTTATAGTTTTGGATATATCAGCTTGTTAATATATAATTTAAAACTTCTTAGGGTGGAAAACTGGTTGATTGAATACTGAAGATTAGTGAGGAACAACAACAGCGTGAATTAAGGGATAAGGGTTAAGGTGACACTAGAGCTGCCTTTATCTAGCTCTGAGACGTTGAAACAATTTCTTGCACTCTCTGGGATTCAGCTTCTCCATCTGTACGTTGGTGAGATGGACTAGTACATTTCATTTGTTGTCGGTATCAGTAGCATTTGTCATAGGTGGTGATTACTTCCTTGTCCTGGAACCATTTTCTTCCATTAACTTCTAAGGCATTTCTAAGGCATCTCTTAATTTCCCCTTGTTTCACTAGCCCTCTTTCTTAGTTTCTTTATTTGGAGTGACTCAAGCTTACTCCTTAGATCTCTTACTTATTTACTTAATACACATTCCTTTTATCCTCTGGGCGATTTCATCTAGCATCATGATTTTAAAGCCATATATTTATTTACATTGCCCAAATATAGGTATATCTGCAGCTTTGATTTTGTCTCTGAATTTCATAACAATTTTTAACTTGACATCTCGACTTTTATGCCTAATGTATTGCTTGGAATTAACATGCCTAAATTTTCACTTTCAATTGCTGCCCCTCCTCTGCTCTAAATTGCTCTAAATTCATCTTCCTCACACTCATTAAAGGAAACAGTCTTTCCACTGCTCAGGACAAATCCATTGGCATCATAATTAATCTTCTCTTTCTTTTGTACTCCATGCCTAATGAGATTAGCAAGTTTTTAAAAACAGTTCCCAAATGGTAGTGTTTTATTTTTAATCGTAATCTGTTTTTCCATTTTGCTCAAATAATTATTTCTGTATATTCCTACAATTCTAATTGAAGATTTCTGTTAATTATTAGCAAATCTTGCTGGTTATAACTTAGAAATACTCCATAATATATAAATCAGTCCAAAACCCTACACTGAAGAGCAATCCCTGGGAGTAGTATCCCAATTCAGAAAAGCAGAGACACCAGAGAACAGGTAGTTAATATAGCAGTGACAGAAGAGAGCCAGGAGATCACAGTAAGTATGTGGTCATTTTTCAGAATACATTGCAAAAATCAAAGAAAGCGAACTTTATAGCCATGAAGTAAAAAAAAAAGAAAAAAAAAATCTAATCACCACCTTCCTAGAAGTTTAAGAGAATGAATTTCACACAAAAACAGCAGATTATCATGAGAGAACATTATACAAATGTATTATTTAAAAATAGAGGCTGGGCACGATGGCTCATGCCTGCAATCCTAGCACTTTGGGAAGCTGAGGCAGGTGGATCACCTGAGGTCAGGAGTTAGAGACCAGCCTGACCAACATGGTGAAATCCCGTCTCTACTAAGATTACTAAAATTAGCTGGGCATGCTAGCCCATGCCTGAAGTCCCAGCTGCTTGGGAGGCTGAGGCAGGAAAATTGCTTGAACCCAGGAGGTGGAGGTTTCAGTGAGCCAAGATGGCACCACTGCACTCCAGCCTGGGTGACAGAGCGAGACCCTGTCTCAAAAAAAAAAAAAAAAAATTATATAACTCATAAACAGAATAATATCAGTACAGGCAATGAAACCTTTCATAGAAAGGTACATCCATAAAACAAATGAAATATGTTACCTAAGATTTCAAAACAAGCTGAAAGGAATTAACAAAATAATAGAAGATATATAATAATAATGTAAATGTGAATTGCATAAATTTCAGATAATGTGATTATATGTAAAAAATAATTATAAAGTAATTGTAGAAATAAAGATTATATTAAAAGGTTTACAAGATTAATTAAACATGATATAATACTTCTAAAAGAAAATAAAATTTGAAAAGAATAAACTTTTAAAAGAAGTGAAGAAAAACATAAAGATTCAGAAGAAAGTTCAGCTGGTTAGTTTTGAGAGTTCATAGGAACTTGACTGCTTTATTCATTTCTGACCTTAAAACAAGCTGTTTGAACTTACCCACAAAGTGGATTGTGTAGAAATCCCTTCTGGTTTCAGCTGCTGTTTGCAAATAGACTCTGCATATTTCCCGAGCAACTTCAGGATTTGCCTTTTCTCAAGTATTAGGAAATATTCTTAGCAAAGAGCCCCTCACATTCTTGTTTCGTTGGACTCGATATAAAATTCTTGATTCGTATTTCTTGAGTTTTTAAAATTAGTGGCTCCATTGTCTTCTGACATAAAATTTTGCTACTGAAAATATACATATAATAAAATCCCAGAGGAAAAATTAATAAGATGAAATTGTAGGCTGGGCATGTGGCTCATGCCTGTAATCCCAGCACTTTGGGAGGCTGACGCAGGCAGATCACCTAAGGTCAGGAGTTCGAGACCACTTACACTTAGTAACATAAAAGACTTAAGCGATGTTACCAATAAAGTAGAAATTTATTTATATATAGCACTTAGAGCTCCATTAACAGACAGTTCCCTTTATTTTCAACTCATGTAGACATTGTCCACACCTGACTATATCTGAAGCCAAAAAGAAACCCCAGTAAATTTAAAAATATATATTAATGCAATAGAATTAGAGATTGATAACAAACCAGAGAATAATATAATCCATCTGGAAATTTTGAAACAGATTTCTAAATTAGCAAGTATCAAAAAGACTGTTAAATAGTAGTGTAGACGGTGGGCCTCTCATCTTGGACAAATATATATATGTACATGTATTATGTGAGTATGCGTGCGTGTGTGTGTGTGTGTGTATACACATACATATATACATACATACACATATATGCATGTCTGTGTATGTATGTATATACATAGGTATCTTTGATATATATGAAAATATATAGGTTAATGTCTAAGTTTCCCTTCTATCTTATCTTTTTTATTGCAATCCCATCCATTGCTCTTTTACTCACAGTTTTCAGAATGAATGGGTATTTGTATCAAAACCATTCATCTATCTATGGTGATTATATAATTGTTTTCATTAGCTCTTTTAAGATGTTGTGTCATCTTAGTGTATTTTCTAATACTGAATCACTAATATATTTGCATATCTACAATAAAACCCATTTGGAAATGTGTTTTTTCATGCACAGTACAAGTGAATTCTTTCTTGTGTTATTTGCCTGGCTGATGTTAAAACACATCAGAAAACAAATTTGGAAGCTTTTCTTCTTTTCTAAACTTTGGAATATTTTTAATAATGTTGGAACAATCTAATCATTAAATGTTTGACAGAATTCCCCTGTAAAAACATCTTGTTTTCATGCCAGAGAAACTCTTTTGATACTTTCTCCATTTCCTCTGTGGCAGTTGGTTTGTTTAGATTTTCTGTTCCTACTGAGACCAATTTTTAAAACTTTTATTTTCCTAGAAACATACCCACATAATCTAGTTTATCAAATTACTTGCACAGGGTTTTTCAAAGTAGCCTCTTAGGATCTTTAAATGTCCTTCATTTCAACCTCCTTGTAATTGTTCTCAGATGGAAAGTTCATGTGAATTAGCCATTTCCAGATCCACAGCCAGTAGATGCTGTTTTCTAAAGGAAAATGTAAAGGATGTAAATCCATACAACCCTTTTGAAAATTCCTACATTTCCCTCCAAAAGGGTTGTATCAACTTAAATAATTATAGTTGTGTAATATATAACTATAACTATGCATGTAACCTAAAGTTATATAAATTAACATGTATGTAACTATGAATTTTATGTTTATTACAGAAAACTTTAAACATATACAAAAGTAAAGAGAATAACATAATCAACTCACATGCAACCATAACCCACCTTCAACCAATAATAATCAATATTGTTTAATCTGTAATGCCACCTGTTTCTCCGCCCCACATATTATTTTAAAGAAAATTCTGTAAATGATGTAATGTTACCCATAGGTGTCTCAATATATGCCTTTATAGAGATAAGCCCTCCTTATCTTAGTAAACTTTTTTATTTTGCACTAATTTTTGATTTACATAAAAGATGACAAATAGTGCATAGATTTTCTGAATACTCACTCAGTTTCTTACATTGTTAACATTTTACATTACCGTAATGCCGTTGTCAAAACGGAGAACTTAATATTAATACCTTACTCTTAAACTCGGGAGTTTGGATTCCGTTAGATTTTTATTTTTGTGTTCCAGGACACCACATCACATGTAGTTAACATGTTTTATAAACATCACCAGAATACGATTATCATACTTTAATAATTCCTTAATATCATTAAATATCCACTTAGGATCCAAATTTAAACTTTTCTCACAAATGGCATATGTTTTTGAAGTGTTTATTTCAATCATGATCTAAAGAAGATCAATAACTGTGGTTGGCTAATAATCTCTCTTATGTGTACTTTAATGTAGGTTTCATTTCCATCTAATTTTTATTGCAATGTATTTATTTTAAAAATTGAGTCATTTGTCCTGCAGAGTTTTCTAAAATTTGAGTATTGCTGATGGAGATTCTCCATGGAGACGTTTACAAGATCCCTCTGTCATACATGTTTATATATAGAAGTCCCACGACTAAAAAATAACCACACGTTTGAGGGCAAAATTTTGAAAAAAAATTGTTAAAAATCAAGAGAAAACAAAAGCCATTAGATTATTGGAGAATCCAGAGAAAAGCACAAAGATGCTCCTCAGAGTTGTCTGACCATGTTTTCTTAGAGCATCTGTCCTGTGCTAGGGCTCCATGTCAGCCCCCTAGCTGCCTCGGAAACGCTGAAGTCAGAAGGCTGCTATGGCTTAGTCGTGCAAAAGGCAAAGATGGCAGCCCACCCCTCCCTCTGGGAGCTCTGTTCCAGGGAGTCCTGAAACCTTTATCAGCTGGAGAACACTGATGGGGTTAGCTGGAGACCCCATTTGGGATGCTCTGCCCAGTGATGAAGAAGGATATCAGGGATCTGCTTCAAAAAGCAGTCTGGCTACGTTTCATAGGGCAGCTTTGCTGTGCTGGGGTACCACTTCTGCCCCAAGTCTGCTTGGACTTTCTAGAGCCCAAAGGCTAGAACAGCTAAGTCACCGAAACAGCAAAGATGGCAGCCCGCCATCTGTTAGACTTCTGGGCTCTGTTCCAAGGAGTTTTCAAATATCTGTCAGGTGGAGAACACTGGTAGGGTAGCTGGATGCTCTGTTTGGGAGGTTCTACGTGGTGAGGAGGGACGGGACCAGGGACCCACTTAAAAAAGTAGTCTGCCCACGTTTTTTGTCAAGTAGCTGTGCTATGCTGGGGGATCCGTTTCATCCATGGTTGGTTCAGACTCTCCCAAACAGCAGAGATGGTGGCCCAGCCCTTCCCCTAGCAGCTTTTTCCCAGATAGGTACAACACTGCTACTGGTTGCTGGCTGGAATTCCAAGCCAGTGGTTCTTATCTTGTGAGGTGTCGTGAAAGTGGGACCCACGAATCATCACTGCTCAGCCCTCTGGATTCAGCCTTTCTCCTAGGGATATGGACAGGGATCTAACCTCCCGCTTTTCCAGAGTTGCAGTTACTTTTGCTAGGACTCAAGAAAGCCTGAATATCTAAACCTCCTGGATCTCTGTGCATGCCTGAGTGGCTGTTCTGCCAAGACTCCATGTAGCTGTGTATGTCAGACTGAAGGCCCTCATAGAGTGGGTTCATGAGGGAATCTTCTGACCCAAGGGTTGCAAAGATCTATTGGGAAAACATGGTATTCTGGAGTCACACATTCTCGCATAGGTTCTCTGGGTGGGGGAGCTTTGCTTGGCTCCATGTCACTCTTGGGTGGGCTGTCATCCTGCCTTGTTTTTCTCCTTTCTCCATGGGTCAAGTTGTTTCCTTGATTAGTCTAAATGTGAGTACCTGGATGTTCTAACTGAAGACGCTTTATTTACTCACTCCTTCAATTCCTCCTTGTAAGAGCCAGGCATATTAGCTGCTTCTAGTCAGCCATCTTGGCCACTCATACACATGCTTAGTTTTAAAATAAATTGCCAAATTGTTTTCAGAGTGGCTGTAACATTTTGTATTTCCAGAAGCTATGTATGAATGACTCAGTTTTTACACATCCTCACTAGCATTTGGTAATTTCTCTCTTTTTATAGCCATTCTGAAATATGTGTTATGATATATCATTGTAGTTTAATTTGAAATTCCCTGACAGCTGAAGACGTTGATCATCTTTTCTTGTGTTTTTTTTTGCCATCTATATATCTTCTTTGGTGAACTGTTTGATGTATATGGCACATTTTCTAATACTTTTTTCTGCTGAATTTTTAATTTTTAATTATTGTGGGTACATAGTAGGTGTATATATGGGGTACATGAAATGTTTGGTAGTGGCTTGCAAAGCATAAAAATCACATCATGGAAAATTGGGTATCCATTCCTTCAAGCATTTATCCTTCATGTTAAAAACAACCCAATCTGGTTACCTGTTATTAGTCTGTTCATGTTTTGGATTTATTCCTGGTTCTATCTTGGTAAGTTGCATGTGTCTAGGAATTTATCTATTTCTTGGATCTGTTTCAATTTATTGGCCTACTGTTGCTCATAGTAGCCACTAATGATCTTTTCCATTTCTTCAATATCAGTTGCGATGTCTCTTTTTTAATCTCTGATTTTATGTATGTGAGTCTTCTCTTTTTTTTTTTCTTAGTCTGGCTAAAGGTTTGTGAGTTTTGTTTATCTTTTCAAAAATCCAACTTTAGTTTCATTAATCTTTTATATTGTTTTAT